AAAAAGTACTTACCTGGGTCTTCTTATTTCATGCTTTCAACTGTCGACATCACTCAGCCCTAGTTTTTTTTTTTTTTATAGGAATGGCAGTAATGCACTAAATAATTTTTTGTTTAATTAAATAATGCACCAAAGAACACAGAATAATAACATGCAAAAAGCAGACAATTTCATGTAACTATCACAAGTTTTCTAGCTTTCTAAATATGTGACAAGAGCTGTTAAAACTTCATCTAAGCTCGCCAATGCATTTCCCATGGAAATCATGCTTGAACTGAAAGCAAAATTGACTATTCTCTTTAGAGAAAACAACGTAGTATAGTATGTCAATCGATAGATCCAAATCTTAGCTTTCTATTGGTTATAAATAATATAGTATTGAACAGCAGAGAAAACTATTGGATGTGCAGGTGAGCATGGCAAGAAGGGTCTGGTTGTCTATTTTATGACTCTGTAAACAAATAAGATTGAAGGCTATGAAAATTATGCTTTCCCTGAGCAAAGAAGATATTATAATAAGTAATTTACATTAAATTTTGTACTTCTATGGAGTGGTGGTAAGTAAATCAAAGAAGGCTGCCTAGAAACCAAAAGGGCTCAATCGATTTGACCAACCATGTGACCTTTGTACTCATTTAAAGTTTTTAGAGATTTGATACTACGAACTTTTAATATAGTATATACATCTTCACAAAATTTGGCAGTCTTTCAGTAAACATTGTAAGTCTTTCACATACAAAAAAAGTCAGATTTTAGTGAGATATTTTAAATAAACTCAAAAACGATTTGTCCATGAATATATTGAGTATTTTTTATAATAGACCATATGCACAGTGATTTTCACATTAAGATTATGAATACCTTTCTTCATCTCAAAAATATCAAATTTCATTTGTGTAATCTCAAAAACCTGCTAAATATATTTCAAATGTTTGTTTTCAGCAAAACTTTATATTTTGTTATTTTCTCTACCCTAACTCTATACAAGGTTGGTCAATTGGACTAAACCCGTAACCACAAAAAAAAAAATCAAATTCACCATTTTGTTTCTTTCTAGAATGACTTCAAATTGTAACATGAAACAATATTCGTTTATCCTAAGTAGCTTTAAACTCATAACAGTATACATATATTTATAATTCCATTTTATTGTTTTATTGTCCTTTGAACCGTGCCTATCTGCTATTCATGCCATTATAACTTGTAAATCACTCGGGGATCATAGAGCTCACCTTACGTTATCGAAATACATTACCCATGAGCTGCTCGTATGCGTGCCTCATGAAACATTTATATTATATTATTATTATATATTTTACCTACTCTTACCTTAACTAACCTAAAGAGATCCATATTTTTAAATTTTAGTAACTTTATAATAATATACAAAGAATAAAC